CAACAGCATCACACTGTTGACTCATATTTAGCTTGTGTTCCAGTGGGGAGGGGATAGCTCAGTGGTTTGAGCATTGGCCTGCTAAACCCAGGGTTGTGAGTTCAGTCCATGAGGGGGCCACTTAGGGATCTGGGGCAAAATCAGTACTTGGTCCTGCTAGTGAAGGTAGGGGGCTGGACTCAATGACCTTTCAGGGTCCCTTCCAGTTCTGTGAGATAGGTATATCTCCATATATAACCCCTAGATTCCTTTCTGCCGTACTCCTTCCTAGACAGTCTCTTCCCATTCTGTATGTGTGAAACTCATTGTTTCATTTTTTATATGACCCCTTTTTATTTTTTAGATCATGCAAGATCTCGTGGTTAAGCCAAGGAGGTTTTTTTGCCACATTTCCTATCTTTCCTACTCAGCGGAATAGCTTGCTTTTGGGTCCTTAATAGTGTCCCTTTGAAAAACTGCCAACTCTCCTCAGTTGTTTTCCCCCTCAGTTTTGATTCCCATGGGACCTTACCTATCAGCTCTCTGAGCTTACCAAAATCCGCCTTCCTGAAATCCATTGTCTCTATTTTGTTGTACTCCCTTCTAGCCTTCCTTAGAATTGTGAACTCCATGATTTCATGATCACTTTCACCCAAGCTGCCTTCTACTTTCAAATTCTCAACGAGTTCCTCCCTATTTGTTAAAATCAAATCTAGAACAACTTCCCCCCAGTAGCTTTTTCAACCTTCTGAAATAAGTTGTCTGCAACGCAGTCCAAGATGGAGCCTCATAATCAAGCCTCAGTTAGGGAAGGTCATTTTGATGCAAAACTTTGGGGAGGAGGATAGATGTCCTCTGAGATTACACAGCACATCATGTACACTATGCTGCCTATGCTAAAGCAGTGAACACCTGTAGTGTATTTCTCAGACAAAAAACTTCATTAAGCTGGAGCTAAGGCTGAGAGCACATAGCAGGAATGTTGTGGTAAAAATCCTGACAGGAATATCAGTGTTATGAAATAAACAAGTACTGGAAACCCAGGAGCTAAGATCCAACTTGAAAGAACCCCAGACGCTGTCTGGAAATGGTTGTTTGTTTGCCTGGGGACTCCATACATTTTCAAAAAGTTGGAATGCTTGTGACATGACTAGGCAGCAGCAGTCCTTGCAACTGATTCCCTTCGGTTGGGCCATGGGACCAGGAGACCCAGAGACCAGGAATCCGGCAGGTGTTTCTGCATGAACACGGCACTCATTCTCCCCTCTCCGGTTTGTGTTTTCAGACTAAAAAAGGGAAATCCTATTTGTCTCAAAGGGACCTCAGTGTGATTCTGCTCAGCGGGCAGTGCCTCGAGGTGAAATGTGACATCAAGTCGAAGGCGAGAGATGTCTTCAATACGGTCGTGGCCTACGCAAACCTGGTGGAACATTTCTACTTCGGCTTAGCTTACCTGAAAGGTACATGGCCATGTCTAGTGGCTGCACAGTGGCTCGTGACTATAGGAGTCATGCTAGTCTGTACTGATTAATGTGAGTGGAACCCTTTGAGATCCTCAGGTGAAAGGCATTTTAGAAGTTCAGTTTCAAACAGGATTAAGCCCCTCTGGTGTAAACCGTGTCCACTGCAGGAGTGTGCACCAGTGCAGCTACGTGATCTCAGTGTAGATAAGGCCTTAGACCCAGACTTATCCTGAGGTAGGGCAGAGCCATGTTGTCCCATCAGGAGTTCCAGGAAGCTCTGTGCTTCAGGTGGGCCACATGCCTCCAAAAGCTTCCTTGTCCAGAGGGGGAGTGTAATCTCAGCTACTCCCCTTAAAGAGCCCACCCCTGGCCCTTTGGAGTGGCTAGCACCCACAGAGCACTGATAGGGAGCAGTCCTTGCACGCACAGCATGAAGATTGTGTGAAGTGTCAGGATCTCTTTATGCCCTCCCCACCTCTTGAGTGTCAACAAAGGGCCAGCCCCATCAAACATCTGGCTAGCTGTACAGGGAGTTATCCTGGGTATTTCCAGGGTGGAATAAGCCATCAATAACCATCGTGGAGGGCAGCTGTGGTCTGTGACTCTCTGAGCCCTTCCTGGTGATCTGCTGAAGGAAGGGAGGGGTCCAAGGGGTGGATGAAAAGCACCAGAATTCTGCTCTATCGAATGGTCTCCTTCTGCTTCGCTCATCATGCAACCTCAACTTCTCATTTCAGGTAAAGAGTTTTTCTTTTTGGACGATGAGACCAAACTCTACAAAGTGGCCCCAGAGGGCTGGAATGACCAACCCAAGAAGAAAACCTTCATTATTAACTTCACGCTCTTTCTGAGGATAAAATTCTTTGTCAACCACTTTAACGTCATCCAGTAAGTGCCAGGGTTCTGTCGGCAGCCAAAGAGGAAGGTGGCATTTAATATTGGGGTTCGAAGCTCTTGTGACATTCCCAGTCTCTCTTGTTTTCCAGACATGGTCTGACAAGGCATCAGTTTTACCTGCAGCTTCGTAAAGATATTCTGGAGGAGCGGCTGTACTGCAATGACGAGACCTCCCTGCAGTTAGGTGCTTTAGCCTTGCAGGCAGAACTTGGAAATTATGCTCCTGAGGTACGGTAAATAATACACCTCTTCTTAGAGGTGTCCGCCATCAGCCTGTGCGGCTTTTCCCATCACTTACAGTTAAGATGCAAGTTAAATGGCACCTTGATTTCAGTTCTGCTGGCATTTCTCAGTAGAGTGAGTGAACCCGAAAGGATTCACGTTTCAGGTTCAGATTAGTTGTCCCTAAAGTTTGCCTGAGTATGCAGCACTCCTGAATCTGCCAAGCTTGGCTGGAAATCTTGGAGACTGGTCCTTCTTGGGAGATTCCTGGTACTTCTTGCTTGCATGGTAAGGCCAGAAATCCTAGAAGATCTCCAGAGTAATTCCAGCCATGGATGCAACTCAGAAGTGCAGAGGGGTTTGCAGAGATGGAAAAAATAAGGAAGAGATTGAAATTGAACATTTCAGCCCCTTCTAAGAGTTGCCATTTGGGCTGGGTTGTAGGAAGAGGCAAAGGTACAGGGATGTCAGTGCAGATATTTCTGAACCAGCTACCCAATCCCTGGGTATAATAAATGATGTTTTTTCCATATACAAAGAGCAGCTGTTTAAGTCCAGGGCCAGATCTCCAGCTAGTGTGACTCCATCACCTGAAGTGGAAGTACATTGATTCATACCAGCCGAGGATCTGGCTCTCAGTCTCTGTTGTTGTTTTCCTTAATCTAATCTAAAAGTCAAGAAAGAACAGAAGTAAAGTACCCATGATAGGGAGCTCACTGGGAGTGTTGTCCTCTGTAACAGCTGCAGTAACTCTGAGAACAGAATGGCTGCTGTCTCTGGCCACAAGCAGTTTTAGAATTTAAAGGTGCAGTACACAGACAACAGAGTCACTACATGTTGCCATGTACACTGGACAATACAGATAGAGTTTCCAGACTACGGTGTAGGCTATATTCTGCATTGTCTTGTGCAGTTGTCTTAGGGAAGGAAAGGGGGAAGAAGGGCTGTTGGCCTCTCTTCCACCCTCTCCCAAGAACACCTGCACAGGACCCAGACAGAATGGGGCTAGTTTTCTGAAAGCACGTTGGGGGCCAGCTGACAGAACTAATGGTGCTCCAAGAGCAATGGAAGCCAGAGCCTCTCCCCTCATGAACCAGTTAGTACTCAGAGGCCGGCATACAGAGGGAGAGATGCTGCACACTTATGCGGTGGATGTGAGAAGCTGTGCTCCTCACACTCCTCTGAGGCAGTCTCCTTGCATCTGCCCGCTATGGCTCTGCATCCCATCCGTCCCGGCACGCCTCCAGCAGCAAAAGCCAGAATGGGGCCCCACGTCAAGTGTGATGTTGCACGCTGGAGTTTGCTGCATCCTCCCTTCGACAGCTCTTCCGCTTTTGTGTGAACTGTATTTTCAGCCCTATCTACAGCGCCTTGGGAACTAACCCTTTCCCCTTTCGTTTCTCCATTTCCCTCCCGCAGATGCATGGGAAGAACTATTTTCGCGTTGAAGACTACGTTCCCGCGAGCCGGATAGAGAAAATGACCCTGGCGTGCATACAGCGAGAACTTGCCAAGCTGCACCGCATGAACCACTCCCTCTTTGAAGATGAAGCCGAGCTGGAATTTTTAAGGGTATCCTCCAATGCGTCCAACTTTATTTATTTATTTTGCAGTAGAAGGGCCCTGTCTCTTTTTCCTTGGGCTGTCGTTTCCCTGTCGCTGGTCTGATATGACATCAGAAAGGTGGCAGAACATGTGTGCAGGCTGAGAGTACGTATCGGCAGGTTAGGGATAGAAGTCCTTTCAAAGACATTGGAGTTAGCAAAGCAACCATGGAAAAACCAGGACATTCAGAGTTATGGATAAACAGACGACACCTAAAGGCTGATTGCGGTTACTCTATTGCTATGCACTCCTACTTTTCTCCTGCCTTAAGTGCGAGTGACAGGGGAAGAGGGGGCAGAGAGGAGCGAGCGGCAGGTACCTGTATCCATCACATGCTGGTTTCTCCCATCTCCTATACAATTTTTCATCTCCGAGCTTTCCCATTGTGACCAGAAAGCTTTCACTGTGGTAGTGCTAGGGAATGCTACTCTCCAGAGTGGCTGCATTTGCCAGTTGATTTTCCAATCACACACTCTCCTGATAGCAGGATCCTCTCTTTGGGAAAATTTTAGTTGCTCTGGGGTCCATTCCTGCAACCCTCTCCCCATTACTGCAGTGGATGAACTCTCTGTTCGACCTGGTATTTAGCTGTGACACTCTGTGTACCGTTTCCAGACCTGGAGAAGAGCCCCTGTGTAACTCGAAAGCTTGTCTTTCATATCAACAGAAGTTGGTCCAATAAAAGTTATTACCTGACCTACCTTGTCTCTCTGATATCCTGGGACAAACATGGCTACACCACCACCGTTGGTCTAGGTGTGAGTTATTTGTGTGTGTGATTTTTACCTTGTCTTTTCCCTCCCCTTACATCTGAAATATCTGGGATCAAAGTTTCTCTGAACATTGGCCGTTTTGCAGCAGTGACACATGCCTTTATTTATATAATCAGTTCAGCTGAGTTGCTGCTTAATTGTGTTAGTTTATTGTCTAACACTGTCACTGGAATTGATTAGATGGGCTGATTTCTCTCTCTCTCTTCTGCCATTCAATTTCATGTGGAACGTAGGGCCTTCACTGCTGCCTTCCATCTTTGCAGGTCTCCTACTGCAGTCTGTGTCTTCTTATGTCATTTTGATAGCTTTCAATTCTGCTTCTACTGTGCCTTTTCATGTTATCCTTGTCTACCTCGTTCCCTCTTGCCCTGAGAGTTCCAGTCCAACACGTCTCGTTATGTTATTCGGTCTTTCCTCCATGTATGTTCAAGCCATCTCAATTTTCGTTCCATAATTTCCTGTATTATCAGTTTCTGTTTCATCATCCTCCAGAGTTCTTCATTTGTGAATTCTTTCTGGCCATCTGATACTGAGGATTTATCTGAGGCAGCTGATTATGAGAACTCGTAGTATAGATAGCAAAATCTTAATAAGTCTCCAAATTTCTGCACAATATCATAAGACCGATTTTTAAAATGGTGTTAAATCTTCAAAGTTTAGTTTGGATGGCAAGATTTCTGTTTCTCCAGGTCAGCTTTAGAGTTACAAAGGCACGTCTGGGTTTCGCTGTTTCGGCTTTATGTCTTCGTTTGTTCCACCTGTTGTACTTACAGTGCTGCCAAGATACGTGAATTAACAGGCCTCTTCTCCATTAGCTGCAGAAAGTATTCCTGGTGTTTCATGTTGTTTGTTGATTCTCATGGTATTAGTTTTCTTGGTGGTGATTAATGACCATCCCATCATGCATAGAAAATCCAGTGAAGAAAAATAGCTTTGTTAGTCTGTGTTTCAATGACGATGTCTGTATAAAGTGTCACCATCATGCCATACGCTCGGTGAGAAAATTAGTGCATAAAGCAAGGACATGCAAATTCTTCCTCCAAATATGAAACGGGATTTAAAGACTAAGGCCAAGATTTAGCTATTGGTTTTGAAGGCCTCAGATTTTGTGTGCCCAGTTTGACTCACCGTAAACGGTCCTGATTCTCAAAGGACAGACGCTGAGCACGTTCTGAAAACCAGGCCCCTTTAAAGTGACTCATGTTGGTCTCCCAAAATATTTTGAGAAGCTTGGGCTAAGAGGCTGGATTGGCCTGCCAGAGAATGGACTAGACCACAAGTTCTCAGCCTTGCTTTGGCCTACAACTCACAAAATGGATGAAAAAATCACCCTGTGGCTTGCCATATTCCACCAGCCCTTTGCAAGGGATTGTAAGATTTGAGTCACAGGATAATTGTTGAACATGTTGTGGCAGGGTGAGGAGGTGTAGAGATGTTGGGGTGAGGGGTTGTAGAATAAGGGGACAGTTGGATGCTTCTCCTACTCTACTCCAGCCTACATACTCAGCTCCGGGGCAGGGACAGTGCTGGTCCCCCCAGCTGCAGTGGCTGACTCTTTGAAGCACTACTCCCGCTCCCCTGGAGCTGAGCCTTGTGCAGGAAGGGCATGGGGCTGAATAACTGCTCTGGAATTCGGTGGAGTCCTGGTGGGAACCAAATTCCCCTCCCCAAAGCTGCTGTCAGGCTTGGCCTGCACTTTAATTAAAATTTAGCGAGCCCTGGAGCTGAGGTGAGTCAGTAGCTTGTAATGTATATTTAAAAAAAGAAAGAAGAACCATGGGGCAGTAGCTCCGAGTGAGATTACTGAAGGCAGAGAGCTGTTCTTTCCTTGACGCTAAGATTTCCAGAGGTTCTTTACGATACATAAAGCAAATTCCACTATCACATAGTGCCGGGGCAGCCTTGACTCCTGATATCAATCTCTTAGCAGTTTTAGCACTATCGGTGTGTTTACTGCATTTTGTACTGTTTTGGTCTGATCATGGGAACAAAGGCCCAGCGAAGAAGGTGGAAAGGAACAAAACTGAATGTTCGTGGAGCGGCATTAACCCCCGAGCAGACTTCTACTCAGGAATCTGCACTGTGTCTAAGTAGTAGTGATACTGAGTGCATGCATCCATTGTAATTGTCAGAGCACTGTACAGACAAGTAACGAGTCCTCACAGCCTCCCCTGTGAGGTAGGAGGGGAAGGGTTATGGCCATTTTACAGATGGGAAATTGAGGCCGGGAGAGGTGACCTGACATCCCCTAGATCAAATGGTGAGTCAGTGAGAGAGCTGGGATGAGAATTTTGAATGGGTTTCCAAGGCTTAAAGAGAGTGGGAGCACGCAAGGAAGCCACTGCTCCCCATCTCCCCTCCACATCGTCTGCCTTAGTTCCCCCTGGGTTTGCTCCTTTCTGCTCACGTCCTGGGATCGCAGCACTGGGCTCTGTGTGATATTTAGCATTCATTGCACATAACGCTGAGTAAGTGCACCCCTCTCCCTCTCTGCAAAGGTGACTCAGCAACTCCCAGAGTATGGGGTACTGTTCCATCGGGTGTCCCAAGAGAAGAAGGCAGCCGGAGGGGACACCGTCCTGGGAATCTGTGCCAAGGGCATCATTGTGTACGAGATGAAAAACCACACCAGAATTGCCAGTTTAAGATTTCAATGGAGGGAAATGGAGAGGATTTCAGCTCACGTGAGTGTGATCCCACTGATCCCCTACCCCTCCACTCTGGGTTACTCCCCCTTGGTCTGTTCCTTTGGTAAATACAAACATCTACTTCAGAGCCAGGCTCAGAATCATTATGCACAAGACGTGCCCATTTTTGACCCAGTTCAAAAAGCATTGGGATCCAGCTGTGGGGTTCTGAGCATCCTAATGCTCAGTGATGGTTGGATCTTGAGTTCTGACCCACTGCTAGGGGCTGATGTTCACGCCCTGTAAGACTGCATAACCTAGACCTGGGGAACATTTTTTCATGCAAAACCTTTTTTGGACAAAAATGCATATTGAGGTCAACCCAAACAGTTCACAAATTTGAGCCAATTTCAGTCAGGGGAGGGAGGGAAAGTTTTTTGGGGGGAAAATGTCAGAATTTTTTGTTTTGGAATTTCCCCCAGTTTTCATAAATTCCAAGGCCAAATCTTGGAGAAAAACATCCTATAAAACCATGTGAAAATGTGTTAATGCCCCCCACCTCCAGAAATGAAACAAAATATTTCATTTGATCCCACATTAATTTTTTTCTTTTTTTACTTTTTTAATTTGGCCACCAAACTGAACAATCAGCTATTCACGTGGCTCTAGCATAGCCCTCAGCGTGGGCCATAGCAGAGGGATTCTATCAGACAGCTGGTAGCCTGCTGCTCTAACCCATATCCATTTCTCTCTCCCCTCTTCTCTCTACCTTTCCCTTTTTTTGACCCTTCTGCTACTGTATTGGGCCACTGTGGCAATTGTCCCTTCCTCTCTCAGATCCTTCTCTCTGTCCTTCCCTCTCCCTCCCTCCCCCGCCTCTCTATATGCTGATGTGCTATGAACAGTGTTGTGGGACTGCAATACCACCCCCCACCCCGCCATGGCATTCTGACATTAGAAGTGTATCAGCCAATCACCACACAGCCATCCACTCCCTTCCCACCATTAGCCTGCTTGCCCCTTTAATGCATTTGCAGTCTGCAGTCCGACTGGCTAAAATGTCATCATTCTTAGGTCCAAGTTTTCTCATGCCTACTGATCCTGCTGCCACTGAAGTCCATGTCAGAAGTCCCACTGATTTCAATGGATGTCAGGATAGGACCCAAATGCAAATGAGTGACACCCCACTCACCCATATCAGAGTTGTGGAAGGAGTTCATTGCACTTACAGAGCATACACCCAGGCCAGATATATGCCTGGACAAACTAATATGATTCTGTCGGGAAGCTTTGCATTCCCCTGGGTAATGTCCTGGGTGGAATATAAAGTGAAAGGTGCATTTTTATTTCCTTTAGAGAAGAAAGTTCATGATCGAAAGCAACTTCAGTGGCAAAAAACACATGTTCGTCACCGACACGGCAAAGACTTGTAAATATATACTGGACCTCTGCTCTGCCCAGCACAAATTTAATGCTCAGATGCATTCCAGGCAGCTTCAGCAAGCTTCGTCTGGTGAGTGTCATAGATACTGTCTGTCACACGGGGAATAGGCAAGGGCAGATTTGGTAAGGAATGGAGGAAGCTCAAGGAGAGGAGAAATGCCAGCTGGGTAGGCACTGAGCTGGGAATCAGAAGATCTGGGTTTGCCATTTGGCTCCACCACAAACTTCCCATGGGCCTTGTGCAATCAGTTCATCTCACTCTGACTCAATTGTCCCTCTGTAATGTTTCCTGATCTCACAGGGGTTGGGGGCTGTGAGGCTGAATTAACATCTGGGAGGTGCTCTGGTGACGTGTGCCATAAAACTAGGTTCGTATGAAATAAGCTTTATTATACTTAGCTGCAGGAACTCTGCTGGGAATTTTAAGGACAACAGATCAGATCTAGCCCTGGTGCAAGCAGAGACATGTTCCATTGCAGTCAATGGCTGTTGTGCCTACTTGTGCAAGGGCTGAATTTAGTCCATTAGGAATTTTTTGCCTGAGTGAGGACCAAAAGTGAGGTTTACTTGGTCCTGTTTCAGCGCAGGGGACTGGACCTGATGACTTCTCAGGTCCCTTCCTGCCTGACATTTCTATGATGTTATATAGCACTCTGCATCCACAGTTCTCAAAGTATTCTGCAAAGGTGGGTAAATGTAATATATGGGGAAACTGAGGCAGAGACGAGAGGGAAATAACTTGGCCAAGGTTTCACTACCTCTATTGATTTCAGTGGATCTACACCAATTCACAGCTGAGGATCTGGCCCACTGACTTCAATGGAGTTATGCCAATTTCTTGCAAGCTCCAGATTTGGCCCTGTGAGTCAGTGGCAGAGCTAGGAACCCTGACTCTCATATGAGTTTGCTAGCCATTAGGTCAGACTGCCCCTCTCTCGAGTGGAAGTGTTGCATGCTGGGCAATGAAGTTATATCATGGGCACAGAATGGTTAATATCTTAATCAGTTTATTTCCAAAATTCTTTCATAGGAGACAAAGTTCTTGTTGAACAACTTATTTAACAGGAAATCATTCTGCAGAGCTGTTAGAAAGAAGCAGAAAGGAGGCTTATGTCTAGGTCCCTACAAAATTCTCGGCCATGAAAAATGCATCATGGACTGAAATCTGATCTCCCCTGTGAAATTTGGTCTTTTGTGTGCTTTTACCCTATATGATGCAGATTTCATGGGGGGAGAGGGGGAGGAGACCAGTGTTTCTCAAATTGGGGGTCCTGACCCAAAAAGGAGTTGCAGGGGGGTAAGAAGGTTATTTTAGGGGTGTTGTGGTATTGCCATCCTTACTTCTGCGCAGCCTTCACAGCCGGGTGGCTGGAGAGCGGCGGCTATTGGCAGCACTTCGCCAGCAGCAGCACAGAAGTAAGGGTAGCAGTGCCGCAACCCCCCCGACAATATCCTTGTGACCCCCCCACACACAACTCCTTTTTGCGTCAGGACCCCTACAATTACAACACTGTGAAATTTCAGATCTAAATAGCTGAAATCATGAAATTTATATTTTTAAAATCCCATGACTGTGAAATTGACCAAAATGGACCCTGAATTTGGTAGGGCCCTACTTATGTCCATGGAACCCCCTGTGTCTTAAGGTTCCTTTTATTTCTGATTTAATGCCAGGAAGCTGTGATCTGCAGTGTACAAATGAGACCTGAGATTGAACCATCAGGCTTGTTGAGCAGCAATATTCTGTAATGAAAATGATTACATTCAAGATATGAGGGAGCAAAATTAATTAGGAGGCAGGAAAATTATAATGCAAGCCCTGATTACAAGCATTTCAAATCACAGACTGTTTAGTCTTTTGCAAGCAATTAGCCTGATGGGCTGGGGCAGTGGATCCTGAGTGCAGAGTTAGCTTTTCCTTGTGGGTCCTCCTGGATGGATTGGTTCTTTGAAGCAGGCAGCAGTGACCCTTGTTCAGAATTAGACCCTCTTTGCAACCCAGCGCAGGTCTTTCCCCAGCAAGGCAGAATCCCTTCCACGCGAGTGGCTAGGAGAGCTTTCCTTTTACTGCTGCCTGGCTCAGATGCATCCGCCACATTTTCTGCAGATCTTAATGCAGCTCCCAGACTCAGCCATCACTATGGCAACTCTCAGGCTTTGCTGCGAAGATGGACAGTTAACCCTTTCAACGCCTCTTAACAAATGCCTCTGATCAAACGCACTGAGGAAACGGGCAGCCTAGGTGTAATGAAACTAAAAACATTCCAGAGGGCTACAAAAATGTCTAGTAGTGGGAGGCACTGGAGATCAGGGTCAAACAGGCAGGGCCGGCTCTAGCTTTTTT